CAATCGGATATATATTGCCATTGTCAGCACCTTCTTCTGTTATAGCTTTGTCAGCACTTAAATATGTGTGCATATCTCCTGGAAAAATATTAAGAACTTCATAGTTAATGTCATGTACATCATCATTGCGAGCTAATAAAATCATGTGATCTCTAAAATATTCGTCATTCGGTGCACCTAATTGTATATTAGGATAAATTGCGCTAATAAGAGATAATATATCAGGACCAACTTTCATATGTTCTGGAAGTGTAATTCTACTATCAAGTTCCAAGTTTAAACCATTTCCAACCTACATATAACAAATGATTATTTAGTTATAATAAAAAATAAAATTAGTAGAAATAAAAAATCATAGTCTTACATTTAATAGCCAACCAGCAAAATGTTTATTTTCTTCTGATTCTGTTTCCAAACACATATTTTTTTGTAGTTACATATTGCCAAAGAAGTGAATATTGAAGAGAAGCAGCAACTATTTGTTCTCTTGAGCCTTTTACAACAACTAGAAGGATTTGGCGGAAATCACCACCAAATACAACAGTAATTTCACCAAAGGGACAATTATCATCACGGATATCACGTAAAGAGCGATCAACTGCATTAAAACAATAGTGATGTTACATAGATGCTTCATCCCAAACAATAAGTGCAGTTTGGCAAAGAAGGTTTGCAAGTTCAGAGTTCTTATCAAATGAACAATTAGAAAGTTCATTAATATCAATTGGAATTTTAAAGAATGAGTAGGCTGTTCATTCACCAATAAGTAAAAGAGCTGCAATGCCAGAAGAGGCTACACAAAGTGCAATTTTGCCTTTGCTACGAATCGTCATTGCAAGTATATTATATACAAAAGTTTTGCCGGTTCCAGCAGGTCCATTCAAAAAAAATAAATTTCTCTGATCATTTGTTACTGAATTAAGAATATTTTAATATGCAGCACATTGTTCATTGTTTAATAGTGGTATGCGATTGTTGACTAAATTTCAAAGCTCATCACAGTCTCACATTAACCAAAATAAGTCAATTTCCATTGCTAAGATCCCAGTTGTGTTTCCAAATTGGCATAGAAGGATATTCAGAAAGTGATTTATTTGAGACAAGGAGAATTTTATCGATAAGAAAGAGCCCATAATCATAGATTTGATTTTCAGTAGGTGTTTCGATAGAGTATTTTGAATGTAAGTGATAACTTAAATCATCACAAATATTGTCACAATATTTTAACCATAATTTTTCTGGATACGTAGGAGTACATCAAGTAAGAATAATTGCAAAAAGTGTTCTTAGTTGTAAGCCACTTCGTATAGTAGAAGCTTCATTCAAACATTGATCTCATTCTCCATCATCTTCTAATAAGCCAAGAGCTATACATGCGGCTTTAAAAGTAGGATATAAAATATTGTTAACTGTTTTTAAGTAATCGAATGATTGTGGACCACGAATATTAATTAGTAAGAGCCGAAGATAATATCATTCACCAGCAGAAGGATCTGCAAAATATAAATGTCTAATTGCAAACCCTTGTTTTCTAATTGTCCACTTTTTAGTTTTTTTATTCCACACAAAATGTTGTGGAAACTCTAAATATGTAAATTGGCGAGCATACTCCAATTCGGCACATGTTTTAAAAAATTCAGTAAGAGATGTTTTTTTACAATCTTCTTGAGAAAGAAAATTCAAAGCATCATCATTTAGATCAAAGACTACTTGGTGCATTCCTGGAAGGTGCAATGCTAATCTTACAACATTTGGTACTTCTTTATGTAAATGCATTCCAAATAGTCTCCAAGCTGCTTCTGGTACACCAATATATCTAGCATCGATATATTGCTTAATTTTATCAGGTTCACGTCCAAATCGCATTGTAGTTCTATCATGACCTTTATAAATATACTTGTAAATATATTTGACAGCCTATATATGTGAATAATATCAAAATAAATAAGTAAATAAAAATATAATATTTAAATAGATTAGTATAGTTAGTTGGTATATATACCTTAACAGAAGCACAAACTTCAATATTTATATGTCAGTTATATTTTCTACTAAGAGTAGGGTTATATGGCACTACATCTCTATTATCAACAGTTTTGCCACCAATATTAAAGCAACTATTATCTTTTCTGACATAATGAGGATATCCATCAGCATCCATTGTTGTTGTACTATAAAAGTCTTTTGGATCTTTTTTTTGGCATATACTATTTTCCATACATGGTGCATCGGAATTACGGGCTCCACAAGGACCATGAACCATACAGTGCATAATTATGTCAAAAAGAATAGGATCAGAGTCTGGATTAGAAAACTCTGCACTTACAATACGGTCAACATCGCTAGGCTTTTTTATTTCATCTCTATGAAGAAAAATCAAAAAGTGCATATGAGGTAGACCATGCTTCTAAAATTCGATCGTATAAACATAAGCTACTACTTTTTCAAAAATATTGTTGGTTTTAATATCATTAAGAAGAGCACGACGCTTAAGTTCAAATATATGTGCTACTAAGTCAGGCCTGTCTACAGAACTTTGTCTAGGTAGTAATTCATTAATAATTTCTGGCCAATTAGAATTTGCTATCATGGTTCCAAAAATATCAGAATGGTGATAGAATCGAGTTATAGCTAATGAATCTTGAAAAATCTCAAACATATGCCATGCACTTCCAATATGTGATGAAGAAAGAATTATATGATGTCCAAGATTATTTAGATTTAATTCATCACTTGCAACATTTCCAACTATATTAGCTAGACCCTGATATGCATCTGCTCATAATGAATCTTGGTTTAATCGTAAAAATCTTAGACAATTTTGTTCTGTTGCTGCCCAGACATCAACTATAAATTCCTGTAACAATTTTCCATCATGAAGAATAGTTGAGAACTCATTATGGCAAGAAAAAAGCCGAAAAGAGTAAAAACCCATTTGTGTAAGACGTGGTGCTTTGCTTTGATCTTCAGCAGGAAGTTCATTATTATCAAGCAAAGTTTGACGCATTTCTGTATGCCAACCAAGATCTCTATAAGGGAAAAAAAGTATATAATGAAGAGGTAAATATGCAGGATGGCCTTCATGAATACATTGAAGTGGACCTCCATATAAACAAAGTACAATATCATGCATTGCCTCAAAAATTGAACCATCACCAGATAAAATAACAGCTATTTCACCAGAGGTTGGAAGATTATAGCAATGTCTGTCTGTTGCATTGTCAAAATGAAGATAAACAGCTAAATCACTTTTAGTAAGATTTTCTCTGCGAGTTTAAAAAAGAATTTCATAAGCCTGACGATAAATAGAATAAAATGCGTGATTTTCTCTAAGAATTCTTTATAGTTCCCAAATTGTTTGTCGATTTAAATTATTATTTCGACCAATTCTTAATTGTTGAGCAATATCTGGATCATAAATATAAAGTTGTGCATAAGCTGCTTCCATGAAAGATTCTGGAATAAGAGAACCTGAACGATGCCGCAATTCACCATGAATTTGAAAGATATATTGAGAATATCCATCAAGAACTGATCTGCCAATATCTACTCCAAGTGAAGTAAATGCATGTGTTGAATTATATTGGCAAATATTTGCACGAAATTCTTTGTATTGCTCATTTTGGCCCTCAAAAAATTGTTGCAATAGAAGTGGTGGATTTCGGAGAAGTGGAAGAATAGCTTGTCTATGATTACAACATTTTCCAAATTTTGGATTAGTTTTTAAAGATTTTACTAATCATTCTTCTAACCAATAAAGTGCTCCACAGTGAGTACAAACAGTATTCATACATCCAAGATTATGTCTTACATTATTTTGTTAAAGTTGTGTTAATAGTTCATCAAGAGATATAGTACATGCTCTTTTTGCTTGCTCATTTTCACTTTGAGCTTGTTCGTTAGCTTCTCTTTCACATTGTCTTCTTTTTTGTTGTGAAATTGATTTTTTATTTACTGTATTTGTAGTTCTTTCATGGTTTCTTCTAACTTGTTGAGAAAAACTTCTTCGATTTACTGTATCAACTTCTTTTTCATGTTTTCTTCTTTCTTGTTGAGAGATAGCTCTTTGGTTTACTGAATTCTCTGCTCTTTCACGATTTCTTCTATTTTGTTGTGCAATAGATCTTTTATTTGGCTCATTTTGAAGTATTTGCATTTCTAACTCATTAGTACTACTTTGTTGATATGTGTTAGCTTTTCTATCAAATTCATTTTCTTGCACTTGTATTTCTCGCTTATAATTTCTGCTTTCTTGTTGAGCAATTGCTCTTCTGCTAGGTTCATTTTTACGCTGTTCACGTTCACGTGCACATTTTAATTGTTGTGCTAAAGATTTTTGATTCATACTGTAATTAATTGAAAGTGCTATGTTTATATTAAAGAAAATAGTGAATTAATATTTTTTAAACAAAAAAAAAGAAAAAAAAGTATATATGAAAAGATAGTAAATGTGCTAGAATATGTCTTATTAAGCAAAGATTTTTATCAATTTTGACAGCTGCCCTACCTTGTGACATGCATCAATGTAACCTGGATTTGGCATAAAGAAAGTATTTTTCTGCATTGTAAATACAAAGTAAAATTTCCAATTATAGAATATAATTGGAAATTTACTTTAAATTCGTGATGCAGAAGGATACTCTTCTTATGCAAATCTGGATTATGCATGATACACCTCAAGAGATAGGTCAGCTGTTAAAAATTGATAAAAATATCTGTCTTACAGTTATATACTACTTTTGGTTTATAGTAGCATTACAATAATCCCAGTAAAAGATGAATGCACCTTTTTTCAGACCATGGATCCAGGTCATAGGCAAACATTCGTATAATTGGCTGTTTAAATCAATTTAATTTTACATTATTTATACAATTTAAAGTACTTTTTTAAAAAAAGAAAAAAACTATATAAAGAATAAACAAAAAAGAAGTATATAGCCTATATACTTCTTTTTTGTTTATTCTTCGTAGTTTTCTTTTTTTTAAAAAAGTACTTTAAACTGTATAAATAATGTAAAATTAAATTGATTTAAACAGCCAATTATACAAATGTCTGCCTATGAGGACCCAGGTCTAAAACGACACATAGTAAATACCGGGCATTCAATAAGTGTTGTTTTTGATTCATGTTACATATTTTAAAATTTTATTACCATTACTCAATTTGATGTATCAAATTGATACTTCAATAGGCAGCAGCGCAGTAAATGGCTGATTTTTATCATATATTAAACATCACTTTCAAATTTAGATCATTTAATTGACATAGATAAGTTTAAATATTATAATGATTAAATATTAGATAACATCAAATCTAAAGTATGTTTAAAAACTTAAGCACCCACTTATTTTTGAAATAAACTATTTAAAAACCCAAATTTATTTATTTTATTAAAATATTTAAAATTTTACATTTAGGTACTTCTGCTATTTAAAAAATCTCTACTCATTTTAGAAATGCATCACTTATTGGTAAAATTTTTTTTTTTTTTAAACGATCCTGTTTTTATTTATTTGAACTACTATGTGATACAATAAGTGCCGAAGTACCTTTGATCTCTATAGCAAAATATTCTAGTCTAATAAAAACTCACCAAGAGTACAAAGTACTGCCCAATGCGACCCGCTAAAACAACTATTTGTCATCACAAAGGGATCCAAAACTCGCTTCAGATTTTGTACTATAAAGATACCCCCCTCAATTACTTGACTGGTTGCTATATACCATGTCAGAATCCTCTGTCTTTTCTTTAAACCTTTTTCTACCTAAGTCCGGGCAGAATAATTATCTCCTACTTTTCTACAAGCTAAGAACATATATACTTCATTTACGAAAGAAAAACTATATCTAGGAGAAGAAAGGATAAACCAAACAGAATACACAAAGAACATATCCTAAATAAGATTCCATCATAAATGAACAAAGATGAAAAGAGTATAAAAAAAGGTCGGGGGATCCCGACACACACTGTTATAACCCGTGCCAGGTTTGTGTAAAAATTATAT